TATATGAAATACACTGCTGAGGGGAGCAGCTAGTGAAACAAAAAGAGGTCTGTCATGCCATATGGGTCAGCTCCTTGACTGGGGATGGAACTCTTGCTGCAGTAGCTGTGGATAGCATGTTTTTAACCCAATGTGCCACCAGGGAAGGCCCTTCTTTCAGTTTCTTCTACTAAAATAGTTTGATTTTCTCAGCTTGTTGTACCTACAAAACTCTGAAATCTCTACCAAAGAGAAGACATATTTCCATGATGCAAGAACGATGAATTGACTCCTGCCTACCTTTCTGAGTCTACACAGTATTCCTGCTTTCTATCCTATTACTGTTGTGGTTCACCAACTGAACTCAGAAAAGAGAGTTAGACACAAATGAAAAGAGAGACACAAATGAAAATTTAGGAACATTAAACTAGCCAATGACTAGTAGTTTTATCGATTCACTTTCAGTAAATAACTGAACCTACATCCTTTAACCAACTTTTAAGTTTAGCTGTGAGGCTCTAAGAAGGTGCCACTAAAGAAGCTTCTGCCTTACCATAAGCAGAGCTGGTGGAAACTAAATCGGAAACACTGCTAAAGGCTAAGTCCTCTCTAACTGTTAAGGGGAAAGGATGTCCTAAAGAAACTCTGCAAAGTTACCTTGTAACATAACTAACAAAAGTCCCCACAAAAGGGGAATTTCTCAATAATGGGAGGCTGAATATCCCGGGAAGGTGGTGTAATAGAAAATTGTATAGGCTAAGTCAGCGATGGCGTTGGCTAATTCTATCCCTTCTCTGGGACTCGGTTTCTCCATGCAGAAAATTTAGAGGATGACCCAGGCTTTAATTTCTAAAATCTTTATGGAAATCCAAAATCCCCATTCTTCTCATCTAGCTTTACATGTAACAGGTGGGAAAACAGAACTTTTTACTCCTCAGGCGACTTTAAAAAAGCAAAACATCTCCCGACCCACCCACCCACCCTACCCCTCGGGCTGCAAATTTTATCAGTGGAGAAGTCGAGGCAAATAACGCTCCACCCATACCAAGTATCAACAAAGTGCTGAGGAGACCGTCTACAGAATCCTGAGGCGCTGCCCTCGCAAAGGGAGGCCCACGCCGGACACCAAGACACCGTGCGGTAAATGAATGAGTCCTGCCAGTAGGATGGACGCTCCCTAAGCAAACCCTGCAACAGGAGACCCGGAGCTGAAAACCCACGGAAATCGATTCCCTCCCACCGTCCGCAGAATGCCCGGCCTCCCGGCTTTAGGGTCGTGAGCCCCGCCCCCGCCCCTCAAAGCACAAGGTGCGCGCCGGGGCGCGAGACTTCGGCGCGGAGAGGGCCTGGGACGCCCCGCGCAGCAGCCCGCCCTGAGGGGAGGAGGGGCCTGCCGGTCCCGGGCCGCAACCGCCTCGGCTCACTACTTACCACGGTGCGGTGGGGGAGGGGACGTGTCAGGCGAGAGGGCCTAGGCCCGACAGCCACCCGCCGCCCAGCGAGCAGCGCGCGGCCGCCACGAAACCGTCACCGCCGCCACCACCACGGATACCGACCGCCGCTTCGGGCGCAACGCGCAGAGGGCCCGACTGCGTCACACGCCACCCACCGTCAGAGGCTCGCTACGGCCGCTCCTCCCTCACTGTCTGAGCATTGGCAGATGACGCCGCCACTCTAGGGCCATCCTGTTATTCATTGGGCAAAGGGTCTTTTGAAACCGAACGTGAGGGCGGTCCCCGGGAGAGAGGGGCGAAGGGGAAGAGGAGGGACAGAAAGAGTTAGGGGAAGGAAAGGGGAGGGGTTTCGGGAGGGCCATGGAGTCCCGCCTCTCACCGCCCGCGGTTGGCTGGGAGAGGGTCGTGACGTCACACAGCGCCCCTCGAACTGGGCTGGTGAGTGGCTGTTTTGGGTGCTACTTTGGGGCGGGGTGTAGGAGGAGAGCGGTGACGCTATGGGGGAGGCTCCGCCCCCTTCCTTGGAGCGCAGAGACTCGGGCTGCTGAAGCTCGGGCCAATCAGAGGGGAGGCTCCAGGATGGCATGGTAACTATTCTACCCTTTTCTTGTCCTAGTCCGCGGGCGGTGATGGGAACGTTTCCCTGTCGTCTGCTCGCGACTTCCTGGCTAGACGTCCTGCGGAGCCGTAGGGCTCTGCTGGGATGTCTGTGTGCCTTACCCCATTTGCGCCGAGGCCCTAAAACCTGCACTTCTTCTCACTTGACCTCTGCCCACCCAGCACTCCCTTTCTCACCCTAAATCCCCAGACTACATGTTATGAGCTTGAGAGATCGCCTAAGAGAATGGTCCATCGTAGGGCATGGTACACATGAGAATCTTGAAACAAATGGGACCTGCCTAAAAAGAAGGTGGATTTAAATTCCAGTGGATTTTTAGTGTTGGCAAGGACCTATACTTGATTACTTTGTCAAAAAGTGGAGTGGTTATAAAGATGAAATGATAGGAGAAACCATTATGGGTATTCAATAGATGCTGGAAAGAAGAAAAATATGTATGCATGGGTAGCCAAGTAGTTTAAACATCTGACTCCAGTAACTTTCCCCCAGCTCCTACATTTATAAAGATTTATTTATTTATGCACACAGAACTGGGATACAGGCCAGAGGTGCAGGGGCAGTCAGAGGATTCCTCAGAGAGGATTCTCTCTGAGGGAATAGAACAGGCAGATGTACTGAAATACTGCTGAGGGGAGCAGTGGGCAGGTCAGGAGAGGTCTGCTGCACCATGTGAGTCAGCTCCCTGTAGAAGATAGAACCTGTGCTGCATTGGCCTCAAATAGCCTTGTGGTGCTGTGCTTTAACCTATGGTGCCACCAGGGAGGGTCCCAGCTTCTACTTTTAAACATCCCTTCTTTCCCTCTATCCTCCCTTGCTTTTGGTCTGTATCAGAAAATTAGTTCTGCCTGAACAGTTAACAGTAGCTTCCTCACTGCCTTCCTCAACTTTTGATTTCTCACCCTCCTGTCCTCCAACCCAAATATGTTTAAGCCTCTCCTCTACTTAATCTCATGCCCCTCAATGTTCAATGTTTAATGCATGTGGATTATGTTAAGTAGAATAGTAGTAGTATAGGAGTTTTGATTCCTAGAATCCTGGGTTTAAATCCCAGCCTAACCACCTATTAACTGTGAAAAATAGGTAAAATTTTTAATCCCTCTAAACCTCAGTTTCCTTGTCTGTAAAATGGGCATAACAAGTATCCTTGCTTCACAGGTTTGTTGTCAGACTTAGATAATACATGAAAGCACTTAGCATGGTACCTGCTGCACAATAAACACTCAAAAATGATAGGTATTATTTGTATTATTTGTATTCTTTTAAACCTTAAGGTATTCACATTCTAAATATTCTAAGGCATGTCTTAAGTGAGTATATTTGTCCCAAAGTATTGCCAGATATGCATGAACTGGGAGCCTTAAATACTATGTACTTGTAGGGAGAATGGAAGGGAAGATAGTAGATGAGGAATGCTCCAAGGAGGAATTTCCTGTAACCATGTTGATTTCTTCGTAGAAGGACTTCTTCATTAGGCACTCTTGTAGACATGTGGCTCATAAGCTCATCATTTCTAGGGACTTCGCCTATGGAGAGCTGCGTTATGGGCTAAGACTTCCTGGGACCATGTATTTTCCTAATTATCTTAACACCCCTTATAATTATTCTCATCTTCCTTCTTCCCAGTTAGAGAAAGGTTTGATGCATGTTTACAAAAGCTTTTTGAGCCACCCCCATCCTGGGCACCGGAGCTCAGAGATGCCCATAACTCATATTCTGTACCTACTATGAGAGATATAAAAAAGGAAAGTTGGACTTAGCCCTGAGAGCTGCCACTAAAAACTCAAGACTGGTGCTCAGGGGAGACACAGATCTAAAAGGTCTATAAAATCACTCAAGGGCCAAATATTTCCTTCTGGAATTATGGTTCCAGATTTTTTTAAAAAAAGGGTTTTTTTTGGCATGGGTAATAGGGGTATAGGCCAGAGGAGTGGGAGGTGAGAGGATTCAACAGAGACAGAGTGGGGAGCAGAACAAGTAGATCTACTGAAATACACTGCTAAGGGCAGTGGGTGAAGCAGGAGAGGTTTACTGCACCATGTAAGTCAGCTCCCTTGCCAGGATCAAACTCAGGCCATAGAGGAGACAGTGCTGAGACTTAAGCTCTAGGCCACCAGGGAAGTCATGCTTTAGATTATTTACATGGTGCATTGGAAGAACAACAGAGTCAAACCAAACTAGATTTAAGTCCCACATCTCTCTCTCTTTTTTTTTTTTTTTTTGTACCATACACAAACTGTTTAACTGTTCTGTGCTCCAGTTTCATTGTCTGTAAAATGGACACAGTAACTCCTCTATTTTTTAAAGTTGCTATGAAGGACAAAAAGAATGAATATGCAAACAACTGGGCTCATCTCATATTTTGCCTAGTAAGTACTCAGTAAATATTAATTCCCTACCTCATTTCCTATCACTTGATGAGAATATATGACATTTATAAAGAGCATGCAATTAGGTATTTATAAATATTCTGTGAACATCTTTGACTTTTTTTCAAGATTTACTTATTTATATATATAAGAACTGGGGTGTAGGCTGGAGGTGCAGGGGCTAAGAGGATTTATCAGAGACAGAGTGGGGAGCAAAACAGGTATTGATTGAAATACACTACTGAGGGGAGCAGTGGATGAGACAAGAAAGGCCTGCCACACCATGTGGGTCAGCTTCCTGGTCAGGGATCCAACTGTTGCAATGTCAGCAGATACCTTCATAGTATTGTTCTTTAACCCCTTGCACTGCCAGAGAGGCCCTATCTTTGACTTTTAACTATGATATTTAGCCCACTGCATTTTATGAGTCCACCAGTATAGTCAAGATTTTATTAAACAGTGTATATTCTTTGTCCCACCTCTTCTGTTTCTTTTTTCTTTCCATTTTTGTAATATATTCTGTTTATTGAGAGCTTCCACTTACAGTTCTTTACCAGATTTTTACATTGAGTATTAATTCACATGATATAACATTCACTCATTGAAGTGTACTAGTTAGTGGTTTTTAGTATATTCACAAGGTTGTGCAGTCACCACCACTATCTAATTCCAGAACATTTTTATAACCCCAAAAGAAACCTTTGACTCATCAGCAATCACCACCACCTTTTCCTCAGCCCTTGGCAAGTTTACTTTCTATCTCAATGGATTTGCCTTTCCTGATATATCATATAAATGGAATCACACGATAATAATGTGGCCCTTATATCTGACTTCTTTCATTAAGCATAATGTTTTCAAGGTTTATCCATGTTATGCCATATGAAAGTACGTCAGTCCTTTTAGTGGTCAAATAATAGTTGCACTGTATGTGTATACCATATTTTGTACATACATTCAAGTGCATGACATTTGCATTGTTTCCACCTTGTGGCTGTTATGAATAATGCTACAGTGAATACTTCTGTACAAATTTTTTTTTTTTTTGGACATAGCTTTTCTTTTCTCTTATGTTTATACCTAGGAGTTGACTTGCAAGATCATATGGTAGCTCTATGTTTAACTTTTTGAGGAAAGGCCAAACTTTCTTACAAAGTGACTGTACCATTTTACATTCCCACCATATATGAGAGTTTCAGTCTGTCCACATCCTTGCCAACAATGTTTCCTTTTCTTGTTTTTTTATATATACTTATCATAGTGGCTATAAAGTGGCCACTTTATAATCTTGTTATGATTTTCATACACACCTATAGACTAAAGATGTTGACTATTTTTTCATATGCTTATTGGTCATTCAGATCTTTCTTGTGTTCTTTTGGATTACAGTATTCCCCCACTTATTCACTGGAATATGTTCTAAGGCTCACAAGTGGATGCTTGAAATAGCAGGTAGTAACAGACCTTTTATATACTATTTGTCTATTGCAAAATTTAATTTACAAACTCTGGTACAATAAGAAATTAACAGCAATAATAAAAAAGACAACAATCACAAGAACATACTGTAGTGAAAGGTAAGTGAATGTGCCTCTCCTTCAAAATATCTTCTAGGGCCTCCCTGCTGGTGTAGGGGTTAAAGTCTCAGTGCTATCAAGCTCTCACCAGCCACTGCAACATGAGTTCTGACACTGGCTAGGGAGCAAACTAACCCACATTGGGCATAGCAGACCATAGCAGACCACTCCTGTCTCACTGCTGCTCCCCTCAGCAGTGTATTTCAGGAGACCCACCTGTTCTGTTCCCCATTCTGTCTCTAGAGAAAACTAACACCCCCACACCTGTGGCCTACACCCCGCTTCTTGTATTCATAAATAAATAAAAATAAATATTTAAGAAAATATGTATCTTTTGAGCATGATACTTTCAAACTGAATAACTTAAGTCATGGAAAGCATTACCACAGATAAGAGGGGACTACTGTATTTAATTTTTTTCCTCATGTGCCAGTTTAGAAATTAAATTCTCCTTTCTGTTATGTTAGTACTTTACCCTCAGAATTACCATATACATTCCTAACTTAGCAAAGTATCATGTTAACCATACTAGCCCTTTCTAGGAAGGACAGAGAGAGATAAAGAAATGTTTCAGTACAGATGAACAGAAAGAACAAAGATGTGGGAGCACGAAAGAACTCAGTGTATCTGGGGATGCAAATGGCACCAAAGAAAGGTCTATTGAACAATGACTTTTTTTTTTTTAAGATTTATTTATTGGCCCTCCCTGGTGGCGCAGCGGGTTAAAGCACTGCACTGAGAATCTAAAGCCGCTTCCACATGAGTTCGATTCCCGCCTGCCCCAGAGGTGACCACATGGCGTGGCAGACCTCTCCTGACCCGCCCGCTGCTCCCCTCGGCAGTGTACTTCGTTGATCTGCCTGTTCTGCTCCCCACTCTGTCCCTGGTGAATCTTCTCACCCTCCGCATCTCTGGCCTGTACCCCAGTTCTGTATGAATAAATAAATAAATCTTAAAAAAAAAAAAAGATTTATTTATTTATCCATACAGAGCTGGGGTACAGGCCAGAGGTTCAAGGGCGGTGAGAGGATTCACCAGAGACAGAGTAGGGAGCAGAATAGGCACACTGACGAAATACACTGCTGAGGGGAGCAGCGGGCGGGTCAGGAGAGGTCTGCCAGCCATGTCAGGAGAGGTCTGCCAGCCATGTGGGTCACCTCCGGGGTGGGCAGGGATTGAACTCATGCTGAAGTGGCTTCAGTTTCTCAGTGCTGTGCCACCAGGAAGGGCCCTGAACAATGACATTTTAATTACTATTTGAGGCAGAATGGGGTTAGCAAGATGGGTGAGCATTGTGTGGGTAATTTAAAGCCATATGGTAGGATATCTCAACCATGAAAAAGATCTCTGGGAAAAACAATAAACAACTCCTCCTCAACCCAGGAAGACTTTGCTGAGGCTGTGCAGGAGGCAGGGATAGAGTTTGGCCTGAAGCTGAAGCCTTGGCACCATCTAGGACCCTGCCTCTACCTACTCCCCACCCCAGCAGCCTTTCTCAGAGACCTTTCTTGGAGTTCCTAAGTCTTCTGGATTGATGTCTAAATTCTTCAGAACCCTGATCAACTAAATACAAAATATACTTTCTGGGCTCCTGCTGTGCCCAGATGAGCTAAGATGAGATATTCAGAAATAAATAGATTCCATCCTTAAATCAGCTTCCAGGAAGCTGGAGGGAAATGGCAGGCAACCAGTTAATTCACTGCATGTGGTCAGTCCTGGTAAAGGTACAGGGACTTCTTTTTTTATATATAACAGTTTATTTTTACATCATTTTGTGCATTTTTTCATCTTAATTGTACTCCCTGTGGGCTTCCGATCACCAAATCACCCTGTGCCATCACCATAGTCCAGTGCATTTCCCTCCCCCCACTGTTTTTGATCCCATTCCACACTCCACCCCCATAAAATGTTCCTGGTCTATAGCTGTTCATTGGTACAGGGTCTTCTAACGCTGCTTATGGAATGGGAAGGTAAGCAGGTCACGGGCTCTATGGGGAGATAACAAGGAAGTGCAGTAAAACTTCGTGAAAGAGATGAGTATAGCTAGAATGTAAAATATGTAATTACTGGAGTATAGGATGGTCAAATTATGAAGGATGTTTAATACCATACTAATGAATTGCTCCTAAAAATTATGGGAAATTACTAGATAATTTGCAGAAAAGTAGAGACATAACAGATCTATTTTTTAAGAACCAATGTGGCTGTAATGGGGAGGGTGATGAAGAGATAGGTGAACAAGGTAGCCAGTAAAGGAGCTCTCTTACTAAAAGCCTTTTTTTTGATAACTTCATCCCACATTCATTTCCCCTCCTCTACTCCCCACTGTCTGCTCCCATGCTAGTGGGGACCAGACTGTCCCTATAAACAAATGCTGGTCAGTTTGGAGTGTCTGCTGTGTGTGGGTAGACAGATTAGCGCAGTGATTGAAGCTAAAACTGGAAAACACACGCACACACACACACACACTAGGGGTACTTTTTCAGGCACAGGCTTCTTTGAGGTATATCCAGGTACTACACAAACCAACCAGGAGAGCAAAATATCTTAGAAAGCTTCAGCAGCAGGTAGCAGTTACTTGAATATTGTACAAATGTCAGTTTGGCAAACACTGAGAGCCTATTGAATGCATAACACACTGGATGCTTAGATGCTTTTTCAACTTCTTTGTAAAATGGCTATCATCAAACTACCATTTTATAAGAGGATCAAATAGAATACATGAAGTCATTGACACATAGTAAGAACACACTTCCACTTTTTCTCACATAAATACATGATGATGTTCAGACTGTCAACGGAGGAAATAGATTCAGTGACAACTAGTGCTAATAAATGATAAGTATCATTTGCAGTATTTTCAAATGCCAAGGAATTGACATCTACCTTACCTCATTTAATTCTCACCACACTTCTGTGATATGGATAGTTATAAAACCTTTTTACTGGTGAAACTGAGGTGTTGGGGCTGCATAGTAAATTGCCCAATTTGCCTAGGTAACTAGAGAATAAAAGAAATATTAAAGTATCTCAAGTTCCAGGCAGTGGGGTGGTCTAGAGGCAAAAGAAAAAGGACCCAACCTCAAGGTCAAAGGAACAGACAAGGAAATCAAGACAGGAAAAAGGAGCAGGCATCTGAGGATTGGATCTAGACAAATAGGGAAGCCCAGGATAGTAAACCTAATTGAGTTATCAAAACTAAACAGAAGTGGCTCTTTTAGCTAAATATTACTGTTGTTCCTTTTCCCTGGACAAAGGACAAAGGGTGGAGTAGGGGAGAACTTGAAGTCCATGAAAGTAATTAGGATAGGATACCTTCCTACTTAGACCCCAGGGCTACCACTGTGGCCCACACCCAATCCAGAACCTGTCAAGGAGCAGACCTAGGCTGAATAAATGAACTAGAGTGAATGCATGAAAGAGTATTGGCAAGTTAATCCAGTTTCAACCTCTGTTTTCATCTGCAAAATGGTCACTAGAGTCATCTTGTGAGATTAACAGTATATAATGATTAAGGGAATGACCTCAGGTGCCAACCCAATCCTGCTTCTGACATTTATTTGCTGTGTGTGTAGGTAACTTACTTTTTCTGTTTTCCTTTGGTATAATGGGGGATATCAGTAGTATCTATCTCAGTGTTTTTATGAGGATTAAATGGAATAACAAAAAGTAAAGTATCTGAACAGAGTATGTTAAAAATGTGCTAATTATTTCTGGTAATAATATTACCTACTATTAAAAGAGAAAAATATGTGGATAACCTCTACATTGAGTCTACAGGATTACTCAGCTGGCTTCAGCCTCCTCTTTGGGTGTATGATGGTCTTTTTTTTAAAAGATGTATTTATTTATTCGTACAGAATTGGAGTACAGGCCAGAGGTGCAAGGGGAGTGGGTTGTGAGAGGATTCACCAGAGACACAGTGAGGAGCATAACAGGAAGATGAACTGAAACACACTGCTGAGGGGAGCAGTGGGTGAGACAGGAGAGGTCTGCTGTGCCAGGTGGGTCACCTCCCCTGCCAGGGATGGAAGCCATGCTGAAGCAGCTGTGATAACTTCATAGTACAGCACTTTAACTCACTGTGCCACCAGGGAGGGCCCAAGATGGTCCTCTAAGGGGAGCCAAGAACCTCCCCTCAGGTTTCTGTGTGGGTCATTCAGGGTTGTTGGGGAACTCTGGGGGCTGATTCTGGGGATCAACCCTCACATTGTGACTAGAGACCTGGGATTGCGTTGGGAGAGTCCCTCTCTCCGTATTACCTCGGAGGGAACATGGCGCCCTCTCCTGACCAAAGGCAGGCACCGCTCTGGGCCAGAGTTTGGGAGGAGGGGGCTCACTGGATCTCACAGACTCCAACATGCTTTTCCCTTAGCTGACGTGCCGATACCAGCTCTGGGGACTAGTTTGAGGAAGGGGTGCCGAGGCTGAGCAAAAATAGCCTTAATGTTTCCGAAGGATGATGGTGGATAATTCGACTAGAGTGGGGGTTGGGGACAAGGGGAGGCGGAATCTGGATATGAAAGAATGAGAGAATTCGAGGTCCTGATGAAGTTCATGTTCTTTCAACAGGTGATGGAACACAGTTGAGAGGTAAGGTGACAAGGCTTATTCAACGTGTCAAATCCAGGTGTCGGGTTCTTCCAGCTGCCCCTACACAGCTGGAATCAGTGGGACAGACTAGGGCTGGAGAGGAGTGGGGGTCCAGGTGCTGGAAAGGCATGGCAAGAGAGCGTGCCAGATGAAGGGATTGGAGAGTGGGGGTGGGGGGGTGGAATCCAGGTCCGCAGAAACGGGGAGGAGCCAGCAAAGGATCTGGAAGCATTCATTCCTAAGTTCCGCCCCTAGCTTACCGGTCTTCCCCCCCCCCCCTTCCGCCTCAGACCCGCCCCCGGTTACTCGCCCCTAGACCCAGCCTGGACTACCCGGGGGTCCACCAAGCAGCTGGCCTGAGCTGGTACGGCCTCGGCACTGCCACAGTCTGGGTGAGTATGGGGATGGGTGTGTGGGACTGCCTGGGCAGCTCCACTTGGGGGAGCTCAGCCACGCGGTCTGGCTTCCGCTGGGCTGGCCCCAAGCACTGGGGGCCTGGTGCCTGCCAGGAATTGCTAGTTACAGAACACGGCAGCTGACTCCTTGTCTCTCCGCCCCCCAGCTGGGCATGCTGGCGTTGAGTGCCCCCCTTCACTTCACAGGGCCGGACTCCTGGTTAGGATTCTTCCTTAGGCATGCAGAATGGAGATGTTGAAGGGGGGTGGGGCTAAAAACCCCATAGATTATTTTCAAATCCCAACTCTGCCAGTTATTAGCCTTGTGACCCTGAGCAAGTGTTTTTAACCTCACTGAATCTGTTTCGTCTTCTGTAAAATGGAAATATACCTAAAATGTTGATCTCTTAGAATTACAGGATTAACAGAAGGATTAACAGAAACAATGTATATCAAGTGGTACCTAGAGTGCTTGATATTCAGCAGGCAACCAGCAAGTGTGGAGATTGAGAACTGTAGGGGCTTTTGGAGAAAAGGTAGAGGGTACTCCTAAGAAAGCAGTCCTCAGCCAAGTGGTATCTGTGAGGAAGTTAGAACTGTCAGGAGCTCAGCAGATGCCCTTTAGGAGTGAGCTTCCTGTCCTGAGACCTGGAGGAGCTGAATGACCAAATTAGAATGACTTTATTAGGAACTAAAGCACATGATCTCCATGTTGCACAACTGTGGAAACAAGCGAGGGTGGTTAGGTGGCTTGCCCAAGGTCACACAGCTAAAGCTGAGGCCAGACTACCTCTGGCTGATGGAACAGACTCCCTCTATTGTCCTTACTACCGCCTCCCCCCCATCCCATTGGTTCTTGAGAGATCTGAATTTCCTAGTTTCAAGAAGGGATGTTAGAAGAGAGGACTAGTACAGCTACAACCTCAGATCTGGGGTTGGACTGGCCAGGGAAGGTGTTCGCCTGCTAGGGCCTTGACGGACTTGGTCCATTTGGGGATGATCCAAGTAATATTTGATTTGGGAAGTTCACCAGAGCCACTTCCAACTCCTTTGGGAGACTCCTGAATCCAGAGAGAGAAATGAGCTTGAGCAATTGGGGCAAGCCAGCTGATCAGCCTGGCAGAGAGGTGGGTGAAGACAATAGGTGAAAAGGCAGAGTCTTCCTAGAATGTTTTGGAATATCAGGAGCCAGCTTCACTGAGGTTGGGATTCTGAGGGTGGGGCTAAAGGAAGAGTCCTGCGGGCTGGGCCAGGAGCTGGGACTGGATCTGACCAGGCCCTGGAATCCAGAAGGGCGGGTTTTTAATGTATCTGGAAGCAGCCCTGGTTTGGCAACAAGAAGCCAAGATTCCGAGAATAATTTTCTTTCAGACTCAGCATATGGCTTTGTGAAAGGGCCTTTCTCTGCTCTTGGTTTTTCTGTCATTACAATGGGGAGAGGATTTACAGATCTATATGGGATTTGGCCTTTACTTTTATTCCTTTTAAAGACAAACACCCCTTCTCCCTCCTGTCCTAATCTGATTTTTTATGCCCAGAGGTTTGGTCCAGAGAGGAGGGAGGTCTACAAAGCCAGACTTGCAGTTTGTAACCCAGTGGACTTCACAGTTCCGGTTGCCAGCTCTTCGCTTTATTTTCTGAGTGACCCTGAGCAGGTGCTCCTTTTTGACCTCAGCTTCCTGTACCCTGAGGAAGCACCAAGATAGGATTACTAGGGTACACTCGGCTGTTATGGCTCCTAGCCTCAGATACTCTCACCTAAGCCGGTAGGCACAGCTCTCAAGAGCTCACACCCCATCTCTGGAAGGGGGTGGGTAGGCCCTGGACACTGGAGGCTTCCAGAAACTTGTCTCCAGTAAACCCAAGCTAATGCCAAACCTGATTTTGCAAAGCCTTTCACTCTCAGAACACGTGAGGCAGCAGGCAGAGACAAGCAAGGGCCTATGTTCTTTTGTTCATGGAGTGAGTCCATGTTGCTGTAGAACGTGGCGCAGTCATACACTGCACATAGAACTGGGGAAGGGACGTAATGGTGCAGAAAGGTTTGGGTTGGTGGGTAAAACAGAGCTGCCAGAAGACACTAAAGCCTGGGGATGCAGGGTTGGGGAGGAGAAAGGCCAGTTCTACCTACCAGGAGGTTTTAAGATTGGTTCCTCAAACAAGAGAGACAAGTTAAACTAGCTTCTAAGTCCTAGGTCTGTCAAGCCAAGTCTGGGGTGAAGAGAAAGAATCCCCACCTGTTCAGACTTCATCTTAGCACAGATTTGGTTCATTACCTTTCCTCTGAAAGAGAGTGGATGTTCTCATGGGATTTGGAGTCAGTCTTCACGCAGGGCAAGTGCTGTCCAAGCTTGGAGGCTCAGTGGCTTCCTTTTCAGACTCCACCCCTAGCACAGCTAAGCTTATACTGAGCACAGGGCTAGCTTTACCATTGAGTCCCTGCCTTGTTGCCTTGGACCCTGACAGTATCCCACTCCATCCCCAGGTCTGACAAGATGTACCAGGTCCCACTGCCGCTGGACAGGGATGGGACCCTGGTCCGGCTCCGCTTCACCATGGTGGCCCTAGTCACTGTCTGCTGTCCACTTGTCGCCTTCCTCTTCTGCATCCTCTGGTCCCTGCTCTTTCACTTCAAGGAGACTACAGCCACACACTGTGAGGTAGGGCTTGGGGGGTACTGATACCTCATATTTAGGCTCAATTGAATCCTTTTCTTTTTTTTTAAGATTTATTTTTATTTAAAAAATGTTTTAGAAAGCTTTTATTCGTGCATACAAGAACTTGGGTACATGTTATAGGTTGGTGGGGATGAAAGGTACTTCACAAGAGGTAGTGGGGAGCAGAACAGGCAGATGTACCAAAATACACTGCTGAGGGAAGGAGTGGGTGGGTCAGGAGAGGTCTGCCATGTCATGTGGGTCAGCTCCATGGCTGGGGATTGAACTCATGCTGTAGTGGCTGTGGACAGCTGCCACATAGCGCTGCACTTTAACCCCTTTATGCATACAAAAACTAGGGTATAGGCCAGAGGTGTGGGGAGTGAGAGTATTCACCAGAGTTAGAGTCCCCAGGGAGCAGAACAGGCAGATCTCCTGAAATACACTGTTGAGGGGAACAGTGGGTGAGACAGGAGAGATCTGCTGCACCATGTAGGTTAGCTCCCTGGCTGGGAACCGAACTCATGCCACAGTGGCTGGTGATAGTTTCATAGTGCTGAGACTTTAACTCCTGTCCCCAAGGCCCTCAATTGAATCCACTATGGATCCTATTATAATCCTATATAGAATCCTATGGATTCTATTATTACAGGGTTAGTCATCTTTCAAGCAAGATGCATGAAACATACTGGGCTGCTAGGGGGATGCCTACAAATTGAGTAGAATGAGTCTCCCTCCACTTTCCATGGATGTTATTGGGAGCCTGGGTGTCTGATATTGAGTAGAACCTGAACCCAGAATCCAGTCTTTACTTCACAGTGGGCATACTCAGGAGTTCCAGAGTTTTCTGGGATATGGAAGAGCACTGGATTCAAGGACATTTTGCTCTTAAGGTAGCATTGAGCTTGTGTCTGTCTCTGTAGGCATGTGGTTTTGTTTGTTTATGTGTAATTATACATGAGGGACATGACTGTACTAGATGGCTTTGAGTATGGTATATATGTGTGAGAGATTGTAACTATGACCTGTCTGAGTGGGTACCTGTTGTAGGGTAGGTGCTATGCCCTCTGAGGTTCTTTTTTTTTAAATTTATTTATTTATGCATATAAGAACTGGGGAAGAGGTCAGAGGTGAAGGGGATGAGAGGATTCATCAGAGACAGAGTGGGGAGCAGAACAAGCAGATTGACCGAAATATACTGCTGAGGGGAGCAGTGGGCAAGACAGGAGAGGTCTGCTGAGCCATGTGGTCACCTCTTTGGCCAGGGATCAAAGTTGTGCTGCAGTGGCTTTGGACAGCTTCATAGTGCTGTGCTTTTAACCTGTTGCGCCACCAGGGAGGGCCCCGCCCTCTGAGGTTTCTGTAGGTGACCATGTACCATCTGGACAGGAAGACAGGCTGCTGGACCAGGAATGAAGATATGAGAGTTCTTTCTCTAGATATTAGAGTAGATGTGAAGAGACCTATGTTCAATTATGATACACTCCTAGTTCATCTACCTACACTGTCTGTTGCCTGAGACACAGAGTCTGAGCTTCTGTTTCCACATGTATAAAATGGGATTATTAATTCCTGTCCTCCTCAGGGCTAGTGTAGAGCTAGTCCTACACTATATGAAGGACAAGAAGGGGTTTGGGGAATGTAGAGCTAGTCCTACACTATATGAAGGACAAGAAGGGGTTTGGGGAATGTGACAAATAAAGAGCAAAAGTGGGGGGAGGGGTAAGGAGCAGCTTTAAGCAAAAAGGAAGCAGACCTGGGTGTGCACCTTGCACTAAACTCAGAGAAAGCTCTGAAGCCCCCAGTCACTGAGTTTTCCATTTTCTTCTGAAGAGTATCTGCTTTGCGGAAATGGCCCCAGTTTCCTTGGGGCCTGGGGGAGGGGGCCCACTTCTTCTACTCATGTAACTTGAATTTTTCCTTCTTCTTGATTTGTCATGAGCCTTGAGCTATGGGTAGCCATTCTGCTGAGACCCAAAGCTGGGAACATTCAGAAAGAACAGTACTGGAAGACAAGGGGATCTCTTGAGTGGAGGATCAGAAAGGGTCAGTCAACAGCCTTTATGACCTTCTAACTTTAGAAAATGCATCAATTGTTTCTATTACTTAGGCCAGCTCCTCTTTATACTTCAAAACCCAGCTGCTCTGAAAAGCCTTCCTTAGTCTCGATGGGCTAGACTTCATCACTCCCTTCTCTAGGCACCCACACTTCCCTGTGTTCTCTCTCACTCCATTCTATGGCATCATATTTACATTTGTCTTCCTCACCAGAGGGGGAGCTCTCTGAAGGTGGGTATGGCATCTAAATCAAAAAGTATTTGTGGGGATAGGACTCTTACAGCCCAGTGCCCTGGGAAAAAGGAAGGCAGGGTATAGTCCAATTGTAGCCCTTATAGAAAATTACAATATTTGATGTTTTTTCTTTAGTTCTAATTATAATATTTACATGGCATGTGAGGTTAAACAGAGCAGGCTGTTTGCTCTGCCATGGGATTAATAACTTAACTGACATACACTTTCTCCAATCTTGGCATCCTAGTTAGGAGCTAAGGCATAGGCAGTTGAAGGGTATTTGGTCCCTCTGGAGCAGGACTATGCCTAGTTACCCTAGGGATATTTTGTCCCCACTCTCTGGGACTACCATGTTGGATCCCCCTGGGAATTTTCATATACCCTCTGAATTTGTCACCCATAGAGTCCCAATAACAACTCATCCTAGGAATAAAACAAGTAAACTAGTCCAACAGATCTCTAATTAGATCACTTTGCTTCTGCTTGTGATGGGGAACTTCCTTCCTCCCCTGGCAGCTTATTCCAATGAGGCTTAGTAACTAACAATTAGTAAATCCCTAGACTGAGCATTCACTTGCTTTCTGGTGAATCTCTCCTTGGTCTGACTCTATTTGGGAGTCTTTTTCTTCCTAGCTTTAAGCCAGCTTCCCATTACTGCCAAAAAGGGAAGGCAGTAATGGAAGGGGGTCCTGCTCCTCTCAGGCAGTATAGCTCTAGTTCCTCAGGCAACCCTCTAAGGACAGTTGGTCATTTTCTCTCGATGCTAGGCCCAGAGCTGGGCTCAAGACTTCATATGGCCTGGGCAGTACAGGCAAAAGCAGGGCTATTGCATTCTTACCTGTTAGACCTCTGATAATGCTATCTGAGCTGTCATTAACTATTGATATTCCTGTACAGCTGGACACTAATATTTCATATTCAGACCCTTATAGGTCTTTTTTGGATCCTGAGTCCACTGTCAGAAGATCAGCTGGCTCTCAACAAACATACGCAGTGCTGCTCCAACAAAAAGGGGCCAAATTCTATTCTGTTTTTACCCCTCCCCTTCTCGAGACATCTGTCTGTAACCTGGACACAATGCTGCAAAAGGTCCCTTCCCCCATTCCTGGCAAGGAAGCAGCTACGGACTGACCTCTGCCACTATATCATTTTATACCTTTGCAGAGTGTTCTGAGATTTATGACAGCCTTGTCCATTCTTGGAAGATTGTGTGCCTGGGCAGGCGTGGACATCTGGGCTCTGTGGGCGGGAAGGCAGGCCCTGGAGAGCTGGGGGTAGGACTGTTCTAGAACAGTCTCAGTCTGGCTAGAGCCCTCAGCCCAAGCATCGGATCCTTCAGAACCCAGTGTGAGTATTGCTCACTGTATCCCTCCAACTGTATCCCTCCTTTCCCTATTCTGATGCTGACTAGGCTAGTGAACTGGGGTGCCCTTAATGGAAGGAGGCATGAGTCCCATGGGGAGATTTGGTCCTTTAATATAGAGACATCTCTGCCTATTCCCCAGAAGGGAATCGCTTAACAGTGATGATGGTCAGGACATTGTGGGTGGAAGGAAGGAATTCTTTCCCTAAAGGGAGAGTGGAGGGGAAGAAGCTCCGTTCCCTGGGTTTGGGTCTCCTTTTTTGGGTTTTGCCCAGCACAGCATACTCAAGCTGTCCTCTTCCAGAGAAGAGAGGAAAGAGATGGAGGGTTTATGCTCTGCGAACTCCAGGTATCTTGGTATCAAGATATTGCTGGTCTAAGCCTTAGATCATTCTAAGCCTGGGGGCGAGATGCCTGGCAGCCTATGGCCCCATTGAATAGGTTCTGGAGGTACTCCCACTGTTCCTAGTTGAACTTGGATGAAGAGCAGGAATGTGGTCAGACAGGGTTCAGTGGTCAAGGGCCAGTATGAGCCAAAGGCCCTTTGTTTATGTTACTTGGCCTGAAGGAAACCTTGACTTAGAGTCTTAAGATGTCGAGTGGTAAAAGGTTTTATTCATAGTATTAGATCTTGGCATAGTTCTGGACTTCTGTTTCCCTTCCTGTGTAATGGGAAGAACAATTATTTTTTTTACCTCTGACCCTTCTCCTGACCATTCATTGAGTATTGTGAGGCCCTATGTCCAGAGCACCCATGTCCAGGCCATGGACATCTCTATTGTCCAGACTCTTCAAGAAGTGGACCAATAGGACCAGGATATCAAGAGGCACCCTAAGGGCTGATCCTGCCTCCCTTTCCTGTTCCTGCCCCATTTCCCCCTCCACTTTTTTCTCTTCTGCAATGGTTTTCTTTTTTCTGTTATGCTTTCTCCACTCTGACTCTACCCTTAATCCTGGAGAGCCAGCTCTAGAAAAGACTCTACTTTATCAGGCCCAGGTATCCCACCAGGCCCCAAGGTGTGTCCCTCGCCCTACCTGGGCACCACTTCCTACAGGATGTTCTCTGCGGCCTCCCAGTCCTTGGAACCCGATGGGACTGTGTTCCGACTCCGCTTCACAGCCATGATTTTGTGGGTCATCACTTTTCCCGTGTTCGGCTTCTTCTTCTGCATCATCTGGTCTTTGCTGTTCCATTTTGAGTACACGGTGGCCACTGATTGTGGGGTGAGTGCAATCTTCTCCAGCATGTGTGCTAGGGCCAGGTCAGGAGATGGTAAATAGGGTGGAATCAGAGTAGAGAAGACAGGTCAGAGAAGAGAGAGGAAGAAATGAGTGGTGGGGGACAAGACAAGTGTTAGGGGAGAATTTCAGGGAGAGACTCTGAGAAAATAAAATCACGGTCCTCCAAGAGTAGAAAAGGATTATAGAGAGTGTAAAGAAGCAGAAGCTAGGGCAGTGGATGGGTAGGGAGTGAGAATAGGTGAGAGAGATGAGGAGAGGAAAAGGAAGCTGAAGAAAGACCAGACTGGAAAGGAAACCAAGACTGAGGAAACAAAATGAGACCAGGAACCAGAGTTACAGGTGACTTTAGCTCACACTGGGGCCTGACTTTAGAGGATCCCCAGCCCCTCCCTGAAATCTTATTCCTTTTCTCCCTGGCAGCTTCAGTCTTCACAACTTATGTCCATTCAACACTCTACCAGCTAGCAACCTACATGGGCTTCCTGCTTCCGTGAGCAGGCCGCTAGGCTTTTGAGGGTCAGGGGCATAAAATGGAACATGGACTTGCCCTTATTGCATTTGTACAGGAGCCATTCCTAGACACAGACAGTCACGACAGTGAGATGAGAGTCCCATCTTCATAAAAGGGGTCTCAGGTCTAAAGGAAGCACTTAACCAGGCTTGGACTTTTAGGGAAGACTTCTTCCTTGAAGAAGGGACATTATTGCTGTGGGGGTGAAGAAGGAGCTTTTATCCAGAGGGCTGTGGGAAATTTTGCAATGATTTTTTTTTTTTACATCATTATTCATTTTTGTACATTCTTTAAGATTTATTTTTATTTATTTATACATACAAGAACTGGGTATAGGCCAGAGATGCTGGGGGTGAGAGGGTTCATCAGAGACAGAGTATGGAGTAGAACAGGAAGAATGACTGAGATACACTGTTGAGGCGAGCAGTGGGGAAGGCAGGAGAGGTCTGCTGTACCATGTGTGAGTTAGCTCCCTGGCCAGGGATAGAACTCATGCTGCAGTGGCTGTTGATAGTTTCATAGTGCTGAGACATTAACCCCTGCATCATCAGGGAGGCCCTACTTTACAAAGATTTTAAAAGACTGTTCTGGCTTTAAAAGACTGTTCTGGTTTGTGAGTGAACAGCTCTACAGGTAGAAGACAAAAGCATGGATACTCAGTTGGAAGGTTAGTGCAATGATATGCTATTGGGAGGACCAGACCTATGAGAAGAGGAATGTGAGAATAAAGAGGAGGAAGGGAGTGAGTCCAGAGCAGAGTAGCCAGTAGGAATGGAAATTTTTGTCAAGTTGGCAAAGGACAGGAAACTGTAGTTAAAAATAAAAGTAATCCATAATTTGGGGGAACTTTCATCTGAGACCACAGGAATGAATCTGAGGTGCTATGATAGAGAATTTTTGGGAAACTTTCCCTTTATTCCCTGTTTCCCATTCTCAGTAATTTTAATTCTGGGTTCATTGGGAGGTTTGGGGTGAGCTGTATACCTAGGCTCCAATAGCTCCTGTTGCTTGTTACTTGCATAGTTGGTGGTAACTTGGGTACTTGGGCTGTGTGTGTGTGTGTGTGTGT